TGAAATATTTCAGAATATATATAGAATGTTCCTAGATAAACCCTACGTGAAATCTTTCAGAATACATAGGATGTTTCTAGATGTACCCTACGTGAAATCTTTCAGAATATATAAGATGTTTCTAGATGTACCCTACGCGAAATCTTGCCCTTAAGCAGTCACTCATGATCAGAAATACTGAGTCCCCAGTGGCTTTGTGGTAAGTCAGAAGACTTATGACGCTAAAAACTGGGTTTCGATACCTAGGGTGGACACAGCACAGATAGCTCATTGAGTAACTTTGGGCTTAACAACAAACAAGCAAACAAAACAAACGTCCATATCAGTATATGACCAATACACTAAATTAACTTTTGATTACTTTTTACATTGATTTGGTGTGCTAGATATATGCAGAGATGAAGATGCCGGAAGCCTCTGTTTTTCGTTTTGAATAATAAGACTGATCTTATGCACTTATTTCGAAATGGGGTATCAAATATAAATTACTTCACACAATAAACATAATGAAAAAAGTAAGTTAGTCTTCTGTATGCTTTGTCTTCTCCTCAACTTTCACATGTTATTATGAATGGAAATGAGCACACATTTTCTCTCTTTTTTTTCAGTATGAAACAAGATTATTCCTGAGTTGTAATGTGTTTTATTCAACGGCACTAAACCATTCAGGTTGAAAAAATTGTTTGATTCCAAGTAGCGACCTATTTAGAATTAGGTCACAGAACATCGTAAAAACAAAGGTTCACGATCTCCTTGTGATGATCATACATTGGAAAATAACATTAATTACATATAAAGGAATATTAATTGTGTTTATTACGTGATCTTGACTTTCGAAGATTAAAGTTAAGCATGGTTGAAGTGAGTTCTTTGCTGGGCGTTTTCTGTTGTTTCTTTTTCCGGTTTTGATAATGTCGGTTTACTTACTGTTTACACCCATTTGCTATCTTGTTTGTCATGGTCGTGTCTTCGAAGTCTTTATACAAATCATAACTGTTTTTGTTTTAAATTTTCGACTCATGGCGATTTTGCCTCGTTGGTGGTGAGTCAAACTGCATTACAAATTCACGTTTCTTGGATTACAAATATTAAATCTTGTTAGTTTAATTATAAACTAGCTATTTCTTAACGGCAAATATATTAGACACTTTCAAAAAGATTTAGTTGAATAGGAATTTTGTACTTTTAACTCTGGCACAACTTTAGGCGACGCAGGTGCTAAACGGCCAGTTCAAAATGTCATAGGATTCAACATAGCTATCCATAATTTAGTACTACTGACCAAAGTGAAGACACCCAGTCAGCAATACTTGCCGTTGAATAAGCTAACAGGAAAAGAAGTCGGGTAACTTTTTTTTACAAGGAGATTTAACATTCACTTTATTTTTAACATATTTGAATTTACAATTTCGTAAAATTTAAGTACTGAACCTGTGTATTGGACCCATAATAAAATCAGTGCTGCAGTAGTCTCGCGATAGATTTGAATCCTGATTAATGTCTCTCGCATTTGGTAATGTGTATTGTGTCTGGTTTTCCTCAACAAATACTGAAGGTTATTGGCTTATTACGCACTTGTAATTTTGTACAGCAAATGCCCTCCATTGGCACAGCGGAATGTTTGCGGGCTTACAACGCTAGAAACCGGGTTTCGATGCCCGTGATGGGCAGAGGACAGATAGCCTGTTGCGTAGCTTTGTGATTAACTACAAACAAACACTATTATAAAAATAAAAGCATGGATGTAGGTTCTTTCCCAAACAAAGATTTCTTGTTCGAAGAAAGTAACCACTTTCGATTTGAAATACTATGTTTGCAATGATTTTTATTTCTCCAGCTAAGCCTTTCCTTTATCTTACACATTTTTTCTTACTAAGTCTATTTAAGGCACACTTTTTACCTAAACAAAGTCCAGGTTCTTAGAACGACTTCTAAGTCTTAAGTATAATGATAAAAATGAGACACATTATGTGTTTTATTTCGATAAAAATAAAAGGAAACACTAAAGAGAAGCTTTACTTCTTTCAATATTTCATTGCAACTTATTGTATTATCATCATTGAACTAAGTTATTTAGTACAGTTCAATGCGCCTGTTCCACGCATATTAAAATCAGTTGTGACACAAAAGTACTTATATAACGTTAAGTTTTAAGTTGTTCTCAATGTATCAGAACATCTTTTAACATTGAAAAGGCCTTCAAGTCACATTATATTGAGTATTTATTTCGCTGTTTAAAAAATAAGCTAGTTGAATTTCCGGTCCCAAACTTATTAATACCGTTTAGTAAATGACTCACTGAGTGGCAGCAAGAAATGACATCTCTGAGCCTGATTCCAGACCTAAATCCCGTTCCTAGAAAACAACGGTGTACAGAGGGCTAATCGACACTTACACCAACAAGCTGCATATGCTAATACAATGGCGTAGTCTCAGATGTAAAGCCGTGACGCTACAATCACATACTGAGCATCTATATATTTAGTTCACTACGAATTCTCGGGCATTCTACATACTATGACCTCCACGAGGAGAAACGTATGGTTCAAAGTACTTCTTACAGCTCAACCCGAGGAAGGATGTTTGTATAGCCAGATCACTAAATGATTTAGAGCTAAAAGACACGACTTTGCACCCCTAAACGCTTAGAAATCAATGAGTTCTTAAATCATATTCTTAATCAACCTAGCACAACGCCTTCATCCGCAAAGTAAGAAAATATTATTATGAAACAGAATCCTCTAACTCAAAAAATTATTGCGGTGAATCTGATCATGTTTTCTGATTCTACAATCAAGATAACATACAAGAGTTTTAAGCTAATGAAAGATAACAAGTCAATAGGTCACGAGCTTCCAGCCACACCTCGAAAATCAACGTTTGTTGTCATGAAAGAAATGAATGAATAAACTGGAATCACAGCAAGTCAAATCTCCAATGGACTTTTGTGTCTATAATTTGTTTGTCATAAGTGGAAAATGTGAAAGAAGTTTTTTTAATTTGTTTGTTATAAGAGGAGAACGTGAGAGAAGTTTCTTGCGAGGTGTGGTCTATGGTTGACCCTACACACCTCGCAAAAACTTTTCACAAACGAAATTTTGGTTTTACGAAATAGTTTGTACTCATGATTGTCATCAGGTTGGCGAAAGAAGAAGCTCTGGGTGCAGCACTGGTCGTGGAATATCGTTCGTATAAAATGTGCTTAAACTTTAGCATTACCAGGACGTAATCCCAGCCGCCTCACTACGGATAGTTTTCCATTAGCCTCTTTGGAAGAATGGCAGTGCCATAGCGAGGTTCGGGTTGTTTTATGGATATGGACATGGGGAAATGTCATTAAGTAGGAAGGAAGGAGCAAGACAGCGGAGCAAGAGAAGCTGAACAGGATGTACAATTTGAAATGTGAGCAGTGGTAAGGCAGTCTGTGTTCCTGTTAGTGAGTAGCATTTTGCAACAAGCCTTGCAATTTGCATCCATTGTGATCACTCCAATATTAGCCACTGCACATGCCCACTGTCTGACTAAACGTAAACGTATATCTGAAATTATGTTTTCACTTTACGAGTTACATACATTTTTATTTGTGGAATTATTTCGTATGTTTAGTTTTATGCTTTAGATTATTTTTGTCACGCTAAAGGTCATTGTTGGTTTAAATTAGATAAAATGTAATTTGTCTCATGTTCGTTGTGAAAGCATAATTTTGTGTTAGTTTATTTTGGTTTTAATTTGACGTTTTTAATGTTTTATTGTATATACATCTTTTGTTTGTGTATGTAAGGAATTTTGTTTATCTTTTGCATCTCTATCTTATTATTACACAGTTTCTACATGTATCTCGAGCATTCTTCTATTTTAAATAGTTTCTATTACTTAGTTTTGTTTTTGAATTGTATATTACTGTGTTTTTGATATAGTTAAAGCGAATATATGCGATTCAGATAAACTTGATTAGATTTAACTGGCTTTAGATTTTGCAATGTTTGAGGGAACCTATGGGCAAAATATTGCCCCTCTTAAATCTTAACTGCTGGAAATTCAGGATTATATACAAACAACCATATATTTAGAAATTTCACGCCTTGTACATAAGTGTTTAGTTAAGATGTTGTACACAAAGCACGTACTGAACATTATATTTGGACTACAAAGCAGTTTGTTAGAATAGAGGGAAGGCCAGTCAACAGTACCCATTAGAAATTCTTGGACTACTGTCTTCCTGACCGTCACCATTAAGAAACATCTGCATGCTCAAAGTGCGAATCATGATTTTTTCGCGTTGATGGAACGTGAACGTAGGACTCGAAGATGCATAATCCGGCAAGCTAACCACTGGATTACGATCTGCCCTACAAAACAGAGGAAACAATAAGCACATTCGTTTTTATTTATTATATACAAAATTAAACTTTTTCAAAAGTTTAAGAGAACAATTTTTATCATGTTTATCAACATTTCTTCAACACATATTTTGTATCTAATGTATCTAATTCGCGTGCTAATTACTGGCAACACTTAGCAAATGACGTGCTATAAAGTGTTCGTCTCAGTTTACTTAAAACTACTATATTGTGAAATAACAATAATCTGTAATTTCAAAGGATAAAATAAATAAGTTTGATTATTGTTTATAACATAGGTTTACTCCTTCAAATTATAAGTCAAAAACGTATTTTTGATTTCTAGAGTTACTCTGTAGTGACTTCTTCAGATTGGTGCGGATAGCAATAATAAAAACCATGTAGAGAGGTGAAGAAAGAGTTATCTGTAGAATTATCTCTTTTTAACATATTAAGGTTAAAGTTCTTGCAAAACTGCGGAGAGAAAAGGATTTTTAACAGCTTGTTATTGTTACCGTAAGTTTGTCAGTCGTGGTAATTAAAATCCCTTCACCATGCAGCGCCATAGCTTGGTGGCTAGAATGCAAAGGAACGCCGCCTAGAGAGGGCTCTGTCGATTATGGCCGTTCGCCAGCTGCTGGGGTGGCGGGGGATGAATTTGGGAGTTGTTGTAGTAAAAGTGTCAGACGTAGAGGAATAGTGGACTTTGTGGAATTAAATCCCAGTGTTATACAGTGCAATCAACCTTTTACGCTTTCAACCTGATAGACTGTGAGTTCAACGAAAAAGGTAAGATTTTTTTAAAAATTTTCTGTAGTTTATCGTTAGTCAGTAAAGTAAAGCGTCGCTTGCTGTACAACACACTATTAGCCATTTCATCCACATGTTCCACCCTCGATCGATTGGACTGTCTCTCTCCTTCAAATGTCCAATAGTTCACTGGTTGACGAAAAATGTACTTTTATTTTGTTTTGTGCGTAAATATAGCTCACTAATTTAGTGTATATTTATGTAATAGTTAGTATATTTATGTAATATTGAATCTAAGATACCATTAGGTATTTCCGACAGATTTGCAAACTTTCCACCAGGTGTCAGTTAGCAAGTAGTTTTTCGAGTCCAATAGTATAACTTTTTTTTTTTCTTTTGGTATTGAGTTTATTTTTGAAAACTGCAATTAATAACAAACTTTCAAATCTTCCGAAATGTGGTCAGCAAAATAAGTGTGATAAAGTAAAGAAAACAAATACATTTTGTCTAACTGAATGTGTTTTACACACATACACATAAGCAACGTGTTCCCGAGGTTAACCGTGGAGAACTGCAGTAACCACAGTAAACAAAATAAAGAAATAATTTATGATTACAAGATGAACTAATAGTTAATTTCTCAAACAAAAGTAGTAGCACAAATAGCTTTAAATCTTATATTTACTCTTTGAAACATTTATCTTCAACTATTAAATTTGGTTGACATATGAACAGCAGTAATTTCTTCTTATATTTTTTATGTTGCGTTTGTCGTTGCTTCTGCTTTCCTGATCTGATAGATTAAAAGCAACGGCCGAATAACTGAGGAATATAGATCCCTGTTAGTCCAAGAAATTCTAATTTTGACATTTATGTTCATACATTCGTTTTCTTTCAATGTATTTTTAAGACTAAGAACAAGAGCGATGTTTATTTACGGTACACGGACTGGTGAGTTTTCAAACTGCTTTATTAGCCTTGTGGAAAGATAGCATAATTGTGCTAATATGGCGTTCATTAAGATTGTTAATGTAGTTCGTACATTATGGTTTTTATCCCATAGAGCAAAGAAACGATATTATCACTATGGAAGGCTTACTTTTCAAAAGCTCTTTTTCATGAAATTGTAGTTGAATCTGTACAGAAAACTATCATTACTTGTCCATTTGTTACTTACTACCTTTATGTTCCATAATCACAACTGTGTTCGGAACTGAAAATGTTACTTGCAGGTTTTTGTTTGTTTGAAGTTAAGCACAAAGCTACACAATGGGCTATCTGTGCTCTGCCCACCACGGGTATCGAAACCCAGCTTCTAGCGTTGTAAGTCCGCAGACATACCGCTGTGCCACTGGGGGGCAACAAGGTAAGAGAAAGGCCTTCTCGACACGTGCATGTATTTATAGATTTAAGGAACAAGGTTTTAATTCTAGTCCCCGTGTAATTCAAATAAATTCATAACGACATTCGTCCTTCATGATGAAGTTGTTTGTAAGCTTAAGCAGAAACTTCTAAGATTTTGCCGACGAGGCCTTTCGTTCAGACCAGGACTCTTCAGACGCTCGGGATACAGCAGACTCGGTATTGGTCATGATTTCTTTGATGATTTGTTTGTTGTTAAGCGCAAAGCTGCACTATCTATGCTGTATCGAAACCTGATTTTTAGAGTTCTAAGTCCTCAGAAATACCGTTGAGCCACGAGAGGACTTCTATGATGTTGAAAATTACTTTTAATTTTTATGCTGAATATGTATATACAGTTGCAAACTTTTTATCATAAATATATACATATACATATAAAGCTAGTTACTATCACTTCAGCCTGATTCCTTATTTCAAATATGTACTGTGATAATTGTTCAGAAAATGAGGGTTAAATGTTCTCCAAACTATTTTACAAGTCGTAAAGTTAACACCAAATATGTCACTAAATCTTTAAATTTGATTAACATAAAAAATTGCGGTCTTTTGTCCAAACATTCAAAACACGATCGCTCTTTACTAACAGTAAGCTTTATTCGGTGTTTCTATAAATTTACATTATATATATTGGTATAGGAGTAGGTCGGGTGTAGCCAAATTACTAACGCGCTGGACTGTGAATTTGACGGTCCATGGTTCACGTCATGTTGCTGGCACAACATGCTTCGTACTTTGGATCTGTGTTACGGACAAATTTCGCTATTGTATCAGAATAACACAAGACTTGGATGTGGGCGATTCCTTCCTTCTTGTCTTTGAGTTCAAAACTTGAACGACCAGAGGAGACAGTCCATGTGCAGCTTTGTGCAATTTTCCGATACAAACACAAAACGTTTGGGAACATAAACATTAGAAGCACTTTCACGTATGTTTAGAATGTTCCTAAAAAGTTATAAACACATTCATAGAAAACATATTTTTGATATTATTTCATGTTTGGCTTTTTTTTTTTCAGTGTGAGGCATGATCTAGTGGTTTGTTTGTTTGTTTGTTTTGAATTTCGCAAAAAGCTACACGAGGGCTATCTGCGCTAGCCGTCCCTAATTTAGCAGTGTAAGTCTAGAGGGAAGGCAGATAGTCATCACCACCCACCGCCAACTCCTGGGCTACTCTTTTTACCAACGAATATTGGGATTGGCTGTCACATTATAACGTCTCCACGGCTGAAAGGGCGAGCTTGTTCGGTGACCTAGTGGCTAGCGTGCTCAGACCGTGAATCCGAGGATCCAGAGCTCACAACCTGTTGCCGCAAAAACTCGTTCCGAACTTTGAGGCCGTGGATACTTTATAAAAGCGTCAGTCAAATTTCACTGTTCGATCAAACAGGAGTAGCTCAAGAGTTGGCGGTAGGCACTGTTGATTAGCTGTCTTTGAAACAAGCAAACAAACATTACTTTTATCAGCGCCACCAAGCAAACAGACACACTACCACATATATCACTGCCGAGTAACTGTTTTCCCAATAACCAATTGTTACTCTTTGTTTTTCTCTGGGAAAGAATTTATCTAATATACATAATCTATGTTAGAAGAGATCAGTCAAATTCTATAGGATGTAGGCTTAAACCAAAAATGTGAATATACATGTATACTATTAACTCTGATGATTCCACCAGATGTAGTGTGTTGTGTCGCCTGATATACTAAGTTTATGATTTATTTTGGCTTCTACTGTTGAACTATGGCTTCCTCATTCAAAGTGTGCACTAGTTATGGCAGCTTACTCATTGGACGAATTTTGTACACATGTGGAAAGACAAGAACCACATAGATAACGTCACTTTAATAATTTAAAGAGGACAAGCTGTGTACTGTAAATAAACGATTCTTCGTAGATTGCTGTAAGTTGACCAAGTAAATAGTGAATGTTATTGAAAGAGTGTGTTTTGTTATTCGGAAATTCGTTCTTTTCACCGAATAAGATAAACGTACTTTGTCCTGAAACTTTGTATAAAACTTTAGTAAATTAAATTGACCACCTTTAACCTAGAATAGCTCGGTAATGTCGCTAAAGATATTTTTGAATGTCATTTTCCCTTCTCATAAGTTATCTTCGCAGAGGTCTAGCCCCCAGAATGGGCTTGAAAGATAGTAAGTCATTAAACGCAAGTAAATGTAGTTAGGCAGTGCAAGAAAACAGTTTTAAAGTTGATAGTAGTATGCATATAAATCAGTGCTGAAACCGGTAGCTGAAACAATCCTTGCTTTGATACTTAGGGGTCTTCGTAAGCAATAATTTCTCGGAGCTCATGCTTCATCAGCACGTGTGTTATCCACCTGCATTAACCCTCTCCCCAAACACAAAAGCTCAATGGCCTCGCGAAATAGCGAAAATGCACTACCGCTTTATTTCACCCTCTCCTATATCTACTCCTGCTACCAAACTCATTTATATGCCGTGATACATTTAGAGAGTACTTTCATCCTTTCACCACCAGAGGTCGTGTAATTAAAGTGCTCAAATACTGCAAAGGTTAGAGAGCAAAAGATGGGAGCGAAGGTTCAATGAATTGTGAATTGAGGTAAGGTTGAGGAGTAGACCCGTTATCGTTCATTAGGCATCAGGAACTCGCTTGACTGGTCACGTGCTTAGATGCAAAGGTGGCTGTAGGAATTAAAAATAACTGTCATTTGGTTACGACTTCTGGCAAACAATTTTACTAAAGGATATGTCCTTCAAATATATCCTTGTTAATGATATTGCTAGGTAAATTTACTTGCTCGAGCGGAGCTACCAACAAGTAAAAGATTGATATGCAAGTCTTCGGATTTAAATTCATTCTATATTATTAATTTCTGTAAACGTGTCGTGTCATGTTCAAAGTCATTAGGTTGGAGCTACTGAAGAGAGAATCACATTACACAAAATTAGTAGATTATAGCTACTAAGGAAAGTATATCATCTCAAAAAATCATTTAGTTGGAACTACTGATGAGAGTATATCACCAAACAAAATCATTAAGTTGAAGCTACTGAGAAAAGTATAACATCACAGAAAATCGCTAGTTTGGAGCTATTAAGAAAAGTATATCTCACAAAATCATTAAGTTGGAGTTACTGAGGAGAGAACAACTTCACTTAAAATTATTAGGCTAGAGCTACCGAGGAGAGGATAACATCACATTAAATAATAGAATTATCTTATAAAGTTTCAGGAACTTTAAACTACATTATAATAGTCTGTACTTTTTGCTCCATTATTAGAATGAATATTAGTATCTAACAAGTTGTAGAGTTTGCTCTCTCTAAAATAGCGAATATTTTAGAAGCATCAGTTCCTTTATTAGCAGTGTGGACAGTAGAATCTACCAATTGAAAACTTAAGGTTTCAAGAGAGAAGCAGGTTACAGTACAGTTTTCAGCATGAGTTCATTTAAAATAATTGTAAATACAGCACAAACATGCAACTAAATAACGAAAAAGGAAATAACTGAACTGAAAAAACAACACATTATGTCAAAGATTGAAACTAAACTAAGCCAAAACTATTATTTTATATTTTAACTTCTGGCGTATCCCATTTTTTTACTGGTTTAGCATTTATCTAATGATAGAT